CTTGTAATTTTGTTTTTACGCCATCCATTGTTCTCGGTGTCTGGCATTTGATTTGGCAGCGATTTGTGTTCAACTTCTTTTGTTCATTGGTAAGAGTGTCTGTAAATTCTTAACTTCATCATCTAGTATTTATAATTCTATTCACGAAAAGTTCGGTTTTATAAGCCGCTCGCAGGTTGATTTCAAATGCATCGCTATGTCGCACGTGCGTCGCTTTTGGTGATGATAGGGAAACGAAAGTTAGTTGGCATAAAAAAAAACAATTCGTAATTTGTTACACTCAAAACGTTTGAGTGATCGGAGACATAGTCGAAGAAACGAAGACGGACACTCCGGATTTATTACACTTTCAGCAAAGAACTACCTTTACCAAAGAATAGTCTCAGTGCGTCCTGCGATGGGTATAAAGGTGCACTAAGGAGGCTGATGGTTACCCACGGATCGAGTTCTTTGCTTTATTTTTTCGCACCACTTTGAAGTCCTGTCTTATGTATATGATTCTTATCACTGGTCCCAAGTTGCTAGTGTCTTTTAAGGCAATATAGATGTCACTTGAAAAAATAGAAATATTATCGCTTGAACAAGTAACGTAGTTGCTACAATATCTCGTACACGTAGATGACATATGTACATCTGTTGACAGACATTGACATCCGTTTTTTTTTTTTCATACCATATACTTAGATAACGCTCTGACATGGTTGTTGTAGATTTCGGTACCATTACGTTGATTGCTATGCAAAAATGCCATCATTGACAGTTTCAGTTATTTCGACCAAGGCGCCACTCACAATATGATTACGTCATCATTTTATGCAGTGATTTTATACGCCATTTATGATGATTGAGTGTTTTAATACCAATTTAACAAACAGTAGAATTAAACGGAAAAACAGATAACCCCTACAATCAATACCGAAAATTCCTAACCTTTTGTATTAATATTTTAAACGCTTATCATAAGATATCAAATTTTAGTCTGGGTGTAGATTACTCTGATATACAGCATGATAGATAATGTTATTCTAATTAAATGCTTATACCTGGTTTTATCGTCTATCTAGTTTCTGCTGTAATTCTGAGATAAAATGGCATCAAGGTCTATGTTAGCTGATGATTAGGTGGAAATTCCTAAACAAAGTACATTAAAGAAATATTGTATATTCTGCAGTGCTTTTATTCTGATCATGTCTGTTTTATTAGTAAATTTGATTCCAATTAACAGGTAATTTTTATCTGACTTTTTTTTCTTGGCACATTTAAAGTTGCGGTTTTCAATGAAAAATGCAGATGAAGCCAGAGAGTTGTGTGCACAATGATGTCGGTCTGGAAATCCAGATCCGGCGATGACGATAATATGTATGATATGGACATTTGAGGATATCAACAACCTTGACAAAACTCATGAACTCGGGGTACGGGTTCTGGATTCTATGAAAATGGCGGATAGTGCCTTTAGATTCAATTGAACAAATATTTCTTTTCCTAAAACGGTTTGCTATTTAACTATTGTTAAAGCTTTTGCAATAAACCAGTATTACAAGTTTTAACTGATAAAAATTTATATAAGATATGCTGTCGAATAATATACTTACACATGTAACTCGTCACACATAGTCCAATATTCAATAAAATTAGGATCAATACCAAAACTTTTGTAAATATGTACTGTCCATATGTATATTTGTTCCTTTTTCACAATTCTAGTGTGATAGTAGGGGTCCCGATGGCAAATTTAATACATTAACGGTTTTCTTGTAATGTATTACTTGTATTAATGGATCATGGTATAAAAGACAAGAGTACGTGATAAAATCATAGTATGTTGTTTTACAATATAACAACGGTATAGTATGATGTAGTTATAATACAGTATTGTAAATTATACGTGTATAATACTCGTATAACATCGTATAGTTTGGTTATAGTATCATATCGTACAATATACATTGCAATATTGGTACTGTATTACATTGTATACATTGCAATATTGGTACTGTATTACATTGACCACGATATATATATAATATAAATGTAATATAAATGGTAGTATCATATCGTACAGTATACATTGCAATATTGGTACTGTATTACATTGTATTATCTGACCACGATATAATATTATGTAATATAAATGTGATACTCGTATTACATCGTATGGTTTAGTCACAGTATAATATTATACAATATACGTTGCAGCACTAGTAACAGTGAATTGTCTAATCATGATCTGATATTGCACAATACTATTGTACAATAGTTTACAATATAGTGTATATCATATTATTCAGTTATAGTATAATATCGTACATCACGAGTCATTTATATGTTACACGTCACATAAAAACAGCCTATTTCCATGTCTAAGATTACACTATTATCTATGTATGTTTTACAAAATTAGTAGTTATGTTTCAGCTTTATTTCCATAACATTAGATCTTCTGTTATACAATCATATCATGTTTAAAGGGGAATAACTCGTACTTTTCAAACTAAAATTCAAAATCAGTGTTTTATTAAATGTGTATTATTATCGAACCAATTTATTTTTGGGCTATATATTTTGTCGACTTCATTTTATAAAACATTCATATCATTTGACAGAGGTATATACCAGCAAAATAAATTTACTGGGGTAACCTTGCTTTTTGTGAATTATCCTTCCTCCTCATCAAACGAGCTGGTAGTGCCCGCATTAAAGTTGTCAATTAATTGATAGACCAATGCGTTAGAGTATAAAGCAAAAATACAACATTGTAAGTATTTTTAACAATAGAATAGTGACGATGATTGATGAAGTGTAAAACCTAGACGAAGGATCAATTGTACCACAGACCCATAGAAACATATTGTGATGTCAGTTGCGAAAAAAAAAAAAAAAAATCTGTGCAGTATTTGTGTGACGCTTGTCAAGTTCATGAAAGGAATGCGGAAATATTAGACACCTATATAATTTCGACAGGAAATTCACATATGAAACCTCTGATGAACTGTTTTATTTAATTGATATTTGAACATGGTAACACCACAAACGAAGGAACACAATCTTCACTCGTGCCCTATCTGAGCATTCTACCCATGTATAATATATATCCTATGTCCATGTATATCTATATATTGCAATCTAGGTGTTCATAGCACACATTAGACAATTTGCCACTATGATCATGTCAAGAATTTCCGGATGTCGATCACTACAACTTCCAAAATCCTTTATTAGGAATGTCGTGTCGATATATATTTTTAGGCAGATGTCGAATTTCTTGTTTAGGCGATTTGGTGCCGTGGATCGTGAGTCCAAAATTGCCGTCCTTCTTCAGTTGTCTTTCCATGTTCATGTGTATATGTATATTCATTTGGAACATGTATGTAAAGTTCTACAAAGCTGACTTACGTTACTGTTTTTTTTTTTTTTTTATCAAATTGAATTCTCGAACTTGTTTTTCGGTTGCCGGGATACTTATTCCCAACTTTACAGAGATGTCGTGTTAAATTATTATACATTAAAGGTATAACGTACATGGAGCTATATGAGACTCAATATTAAAATGTATTTATAATTCTACCTATCAGTTCACAAATACCTACCTTATTTAATTTGGTTGTCCTGTTTCACCAATAACATTCTTTGTCGAAGTACCAGATGACGTTTATCCTTCTGGAATACCTGGTTTAATTCCCTTGGTAGGTTCATAGATCCCCGTATATATCTTAGTTTGAAGTATGATTTTATGATCTATTATCTATCCTACACTGTAGTTACTCTTGGTAATAGAAGACACAACATCGCTGTGTAGCGTGAAGATTGAGAAAATACTGTATTCCCTCGTCTGGAGTGTGTGTAAAGATTTGCCAAACGAGGTCAGCACTGGATTATGACATACTGTATTGATAAATGTAGCGATGAGGTTCAATATCGATGAAATATCACTGCTTAAGGCAAACCTAATTGATATAACAATAACATTTGTGTTACGTATAAAACTTTTACTGTGACATGTGTAGAATCTCGTGAACAGCAAAAACACCGTTATGACGGTTTCCAATATTTAGATGTACAGTGTAACAAAGTGCTGTCAACACAAAGCATTCGGTAGGACACTCTGACGACTACTGCTCATCTCCTGATCTGCTTTAATATGAAAAGTGTTCGATTCACCTGATTTTTTTTTATTTTGATCAGTATTCGAAATCATGTTTGGATCTATTATTGCCAAAATAATCCTCATTCAAAATAATCATGTAGCATATCACCGATATACACACAAAATGATGCCTGTTATGTATTACTAGGATAGTGTTTTGTCCCCATGATGACTCTTTCTAATATCCGATAGCCGTAGATATAACAAGACAATATAGACATGAGCGTGGCGACACTGAATACAGGTGACTCAATGAAAACAAACAGATGATTAAAAACATATTTTTATTATTTTCACGCAGATGTAGCAATTGAAATGTATTATCACAGGCTTGTATACGTCATTCAGTATAAGAAATCGATCACAAATTCATATCGATCATAAAAGATATATTTGTAAGAATGTCTCAAACTATTATAACTCAAAATATGAAATGTGACCGCCGCCGTATTCTTTTTATCATTTGTAAAATCAGCATTTTCTTAAACTGCTTTGAAATAAAAAAAAAAAAAAAAACTGTGATGATATCTTGACTCAATGCTGCCTTCTTAGTGGCACGACTGTGCATATCACAACATTTCACTCAAAGCTGTATTAAATCAAGATAAAATAACTTGGACAATACCATTTGCAGCTATTGAGGACGTAACGCGTTGCGCATTCGCAGATTTCTCGCTCCACGTGAACGATTTTTTAAATTAGATTATATAGCGGCATTTCAGAAAAATATTAATATATCGTTTTGTAGATAAAAAATCCCAAAATGTATGTCTTTGGTCAGTAAAGTTAACTTTTCGTCGTTACAAATACATAATTCTTAATTTTTTAAGATGAAACTTAAATGTGTCATTTTTCAGTTGAAACTTACACATGAATCTTCTTCATAGTCTAAACAATGTTTAAACAAAACTATTATTGGACAACTTCAATGTGAAATAAAAGCAAAAATATGTATAAATCTCCAAATGTATGCCTCTGGCTATCAAGTATAGTAACTTTCCAACACATTGATATAACTTTGACAAACTTGAATCAAAAATTAGTTGTGTCAATTTTTAGGTGAAAATGGAACATAGCTTCAGTTCACACTTCCAGCACTGTACAGGTAAACACGACATCAATGTACTTGTATCGATGAGTCATTAAGACGGACTGTTGTTATATATAGTATATAATCATATTGTTTTCTGATCAATAACCTTTTTTCTATAACCAATTTATATAATCAGTTCCTTTTTATTCAATTGGTGTTGATATCTTAATACTAGTATAAAGAATGTAAATTCTGTACGTACAATTCTGTTTAAAATAAAATGTTCTGGGCACTTTCTTTCGTGGCGTACATCCAATATATTGTCTCAAGGGGACTAATTTACATAATGTATATAAATCATCTGAAAGATTCTAATATATTTCATTTTTTTGTAGTTTGTCTATCGCCAGGAAAACATTTCATATTGTACAGTAATGTCCTGGCGAAAGTGCACCTGATAGTCATAAATGAGAGTTTTTGTTAGGGTACGTTATGTCATGAAAGGATTAATTTACCAACGATAAAACCACAACACACGGCAGATACCGCTAAACAGATATCTACTTTTGTACACATTGGTTGTCGATAGTTAACACTACCGCTGTCGTTCAACGATTTATGATAGATGTAGAACGGTAAAAAGATGTGTAAAAAGTCTGGTAACATAAATCCGAAATTACGTAACTTCTGGTACATTTTTCCTTTACCTAGAAACATTTGTACGAAAAACTGATCAACGCCCCCTATCAGTAAATGCACGGAACTAATACAGATAATCGTGATTATTTTCCATTTATCAATCTGTTGTGATTTTGAACATAGCTGCAGTATAAGATATGTTGATATAAATTCGGTAGCTGTAAAGAAAAATTGATGTACAAACTGATCATAAAAATCATCATTCAGATAATTAAGATAATTCCACCAGGAATAATAAAGGGGATAAATGTCCATGAGGAAAAGAAACACCATGGGTATTCGACTTTTCCGGGAGCTCACTGTAACACACAGATATTTTAAAGCCTCGTATGCCGCGATCATATGACAAGTGGTAAGTATCCAGATATAGAAAGTCTGTGCCGTGGCGTTAAAGTAGATGTGTTTATATTTGATGACATCTTGATTCTGGTAAGATCCTGAAACAGACAAAATCCATTCCTAACTTTAGACAAGACGAAAACTGACAAAAAAAGATAAGCAGTCTGTTGATATTCCCATTTAACTTGAAACACTTCTACGCTCCTGATACATGATAATAAAACGAGTCAGGGATCATCACACAGTGTTAAGGGACCATCACACAGTGTAAAGGGACCATCACACAAGGGACAATCACACAGTTTTAAGGGACCATCACACAAGGGACCATCACACAGCATTAAAGGCCCATCACACACGGGACCATCCCACAGTCTTAAGAGACCATCAAACAGTGTTAATGGACCATCACACAGTGGTAAGGGACCATCACACAAGGGACCATCGCAGAGTGTAAAGGGACCATCACACAAGGGACCATCACACAGTATTAAAGGCCCATCACACACGGGACCATCACACAGTGGTTAGGGACCATCACACAGTGTAAAGGGACCATCACACAGTGTAAAGGGACCATCACACAGTGGTAATGGACCATCACACAGTGTTAAGGGACCATCACACAGTGTTAATGGACCATCACATAGTGTTAAGGGAGCATCACACAGTGGTAAGGGACCATCACACAGTGGTAAGGGACCATCACACAGTGGTAAGGGACTATCACACAGTGTTAATGGACCATTACACAGTGGTAGGGGACAATCACACAGTGTTAAGGGACCATCACACAGTGGTTAGGGACCATCACACAGTGGTAAGGGACCATCGCACAGTGTTAACGGACCATCACACAGTGGTAAGGACCATCACACAGTGTTAAGGGATCATCACACAGTGGTAAGGGACCATCACACAGTAGCAAGGGACCATCACACAGTGGTAAGGGACCATCACACAGTGGTAAGGGACCAACACACAGTGGTAAGGGACCATCACACAGTGTTAACGGACCATCACACAGTGGTAAGGGACCATCACACAGTGGTAAGGGACCATCACACAGTGGTAAGTGACCATCACACAGTGTTAATGGATCATCACACAGTGGTAAGGGACTATCACACAGTGGTAAGGGACCATCACACAGTGGTTAGGGACCATCGCATAGTGTAAAGGGACCATCAAACAGTGTAAAGGGACCATCACACAGTGGTAAGGGACCATCACAAAGTGTTAAGGGACCATCACACAGTGGTAAGGGACCATCACACAGTGGTAAGGGACCATCACACAGTGTTAAGGGATCATCACACAGTGTTAATGGATCATCACACAGTGGTAAGGGACCCTCACACAGTGGTAAGGGACCATCACACAGTGGTAAGGGACCATCACACAGTGGTTAGGGACCATCGCACAGTGTAAAGGGACCATCAAACAGTGTAAAGGGACCATCACACAGTGGTAAGGGACCATCACACAGTGTTTAGGGACCATCAAACAGTGGTAAGGGACCACCACACAGTAGTTAGGGACCATCACATAGTGGTAAGGGACCATCACACAGTGGTAAGGGACTATCACACAGTGGTTAGGGACCATCACACAGTGGAAAGGGACCATCACACAGTGGTTAGGGACCATCACACAGTGGTTAGGGACCATCACACAGTGGTTAGGGACCATCACACAAGGGACCATCACACAGTGGTAAGGGACCATCACACAGTGGTAAGGGACTATCACAAAGTGGTAAGGGACTATCACACAGTGGTAAGGGACCATCACACAGTGGTTTTGGACCATCACACAGTGGTAAGGGACTATCACACAGTGATAAGCATCTTCCAATAGCAATTAAGAAATTAACTGCATCTTCAGAACTCGTAACTCATACCGAGCCTAGATTTTAAAACCCGTCAGTCGACTGTTTATATCGAAATCTAACGAATGGAATGAAACGTCGAAATCTAGATCGGGAAAATTATTAGGCCAATAATCCAATAAATGTCACAAGTTTTATATATGAGATCATTTCAAAGAACTTCAAGTTTATGTGTCTATACTGAACCGAGTCGCTAATCGAATAAATCATAGGTAGTAGGCAGGTTACGGCAAACTTTGGACACTTTTAATCAATAAGCGATGTGTATAGGTAATGCTATTTTGTGTATCGTCACAGATGTAGGGTTTGGAATATTTCTCAACAAAAAATATATTTATTAGAATACAAAACTAGAGTTGCCGAACGGCGTTGCAAAGATAGCAAACATGGCTTCGTTAACTTCAGCGTCAAGAAAATATACACCTACCCAAACGTTAATTTGTATGTATTATAAAGGTTCAATTTCACTAAAAAAAAGTCAGGTATTTCAACAAACTTGTAAGAAAAAGTCACTAGGACAACGATTTCAACGGGGCTCCGTCAGATCTCCATGAAACGAGGTCCAATTGGGAAATGTTTTTACTAAAATGTCCTTTGTGTTATACATTACCTTTAAAAACAGTGTCCCAGCATGTACATCTACAGTTCTCTTTGTCTACCGGTTCTTTATCAGGTACCCATAACTTCAAGTGGAAAATCCCTGTGTAATAAATGCAAATCCATACAAAACCCACAACAGGAACAATCAAAGGGAGACAACCTCTCCAAAAACACTACGCAAAATGTATATCGTGTATCAAATGTGCTACCGACACAAATCCTGATACAAAACTACAAGCATGTTTTATAAGGTTCACCTTTTCACGAAGAATTGTACAGAAAATGGGTGATGAAATTATCTCCACTTTTAACAGCAGTTGTCAAGATTGAAAATCATTTGGTAAAGTTTCATGTATCTGACGTAAATCCTGGGATCAGCGATATATGTTTCCGTCTACCGGGCAATGATATTGTAATGCTATATATTAACAGAACTTAAGAGCATTTCCATCAAAACCAACACTCTTGTTACAGTTAAGCTTCTTGCATTTTAATGTGTTCAGTTACATGGATATATGTTAAATGAGCGGATGGTGTTGCATGTACAATCATGGTATGGTTTGATGTAAATACAGTCTCTGCTAGCTAATGGACATCTTTCCTTCTTTGATCAGTTGGTAGAGTTGTGAATTTTCTCACTGAATTCAATTTTTGTTGGAGCAGTCGATAGCAATGTGTTTTTCCTACCCCAAAGGAATCCGAAATTCATACATATACATAGTGCTTGTGACCCTATAGAATCACAATGACTGGACGGTCTACACGTCTTAATGATATCAAACGTCCCGCTAAACTTAGCTAATATAATTGTTGTATAATGACACAAAAAAAAACAACCTTGGAGGGAATATTGGTGTTGGTCACTCTGACATGATCAGATCGACACTGTGTGTACACTGTACAGAACCGGGTATATAAACACAAACAAATATATACTGTTCAAGATCTACCTGTTGATATATGGAACAATATACATATATTGCCTGGGGTTGAGGTCAACATGTGTTATGTTGAACTAGGGGACTAAAGTGTTGCCTGAGGCCGAAGGGTCTGAGTGTTCAACATAACACCGAAAATCAAGTCTTTCAATGTTTAGTTATACTGTCTACCGTTGATATATAACAGATAACATTTTGGGTGGTTGCACTTTCACTATTATTGAAAATGTCACCATTGTCTTCAGCAGTACATTGAGCAAGTCTGTCCATGGTGGCAGACGACTGTATATCTGCACGTAGTTTCGGAGAAGGCGTTGATAAGTTGCAATAGCATGTGCCTAACCCTTGTCTTACGGCAATAAATATGGTTAACTTAACAGATGTCAGTGATACCATCATTCAGTGCGTTCCGCCATATCGTCGTGTCTCGGAAAATCATCTGAAAACCAGAGCAATGCTAATTCGTTCATGTGATTGACACAAATCTCATTCTGGATATTTTGGTGTGTTTTGAGTATTATAATTGAATGTCTCATAATGACTATCTATATAATCTCTTTTTCTCTTCTGTTCTTTCTATCTTCTCATCTTTTCCTCCTTTTGATGAAATGACTTAAACTTACAATTGTACGTCTACGATATTACATAATGTATTTTCATGTATATAATATAAATATCGGTGTCACGTGCTGTATATTAATTATTTGTAATTATATATATGGAGTTCGTTAGTTGTTAGAACTGATCTTTGATCCATTTATCTGTACCTATGTTTAAACCATGACGACTGTCCTCATGCATGACTCTGTTTTGAAAGAAAACGACATTTTTAGCATACGACTGCCGCTAAGTGCCACTGGTAAATTGTTAAATATTTTTACCGATCAGAAAAGCTAGCATTTTTAACAACAGCTAGTTCCAAAGGCGGTGATAGGGACGTAGATAAAATTGATGATATCTACGTCCCTGGCTGTGAAAATAGGCTAAAACCTACCTGCGTTACGTTTTCACGTTTAATATAAAAAGTTTAGGACTTGTCTAGCGGTACAAAGACCCAGAGCCCCGTATCGCGTGACGAGGTCACATTTGTACCATAGATACACTGTAACATACTTAAAAAGGTGAAGACGGTTATAAACCCCGAACAGACGTGAAAAGGCACGGGGTCACCTGCTGGACCACGTGGGTTTGCTCACACAGAAAAGCCCCTTGTGGTGGTCCACGTTGGACAGCAAGAGTGATTCATACAAGCTGACAGTGTGTGCCCAATTATTGTAAATTAAATACCAAGATTATATTTTCTATATAACGTAACGAAAGCATTATTTATTTCAATTACCAACATAAGTAGATTTAATTACTGTCTAGTACATCTACCACATCCTTCACTGAAAAGACGGCCGTTTATATATCATCAGCGCTTTACTAATCATACCTGGTTTCAATTTATCATTTTCCTGTACATGTTCCGGACTCAGTGAATATTACTTTCTAGTGTATATATATTTGAAGAATTACTCGTACGCACTGTAGCTACGACTTCATAGATCATAAATATATATGAATCACTTTGTGCAGAAATCTAGTCACCCCAATAACACACGTACAAACCACACTAGTTTGTATGTAAACCGGAAAATCCACTATGTCTAAAAGTCTTAACACCTTAACGTCAAGTTGTCAACTTTTAAAACATAACATATTTTGATGGAGACATTTAACGAGAATCTTCCCTAGTTAGCATATATTATCACATTTCTTTCTTTATCTAGTAGTAAAGCCTAAGCGTTATATGTATTTAAACTCGGTTTTATTTCAAACATAACAACAAGCAAGCTGATTTTATGACACTAGGTACGGACAGCCATACTCCGTAAAGTCTGTAAACATCGTGAATTCACAATACAAACATCCTTGAGATCTAGTTTCTCTTGACATTCATCGTGATCCTAAACCAAGCACGCATACTTTATGACTTATCAACTTTCTATATGGAAAAACATTGCAGTATTTTTAAAATTCAAATCAAGTATGATGAATAAGTTATTTGTTTCCGGTTGTACACATATTTCGGCACGTTTTAAGTTTAATGCACATTGTTGATGTCGCAACATCTATAGAAGGGATGTCACAGTTAAATGCACGACATAAGTTGCAAGACAACGTTTAAAGCGACTTCGCGGTAAAATATTTTTTTCTCTCAATATGTTATATTATTGCATATATATATATATATATATATATATATACAAAGTGTATCACCTAATGAACAACAATGTCCCTTTAATGTACATAAACATGTATCTATCTGTTAAACGTTTTGTCTACATATGACACACAGTTTACATATTAGTACTATTCCTTAAATTCCCTAGAGAAGAATTGACTCGATTTAAGTTTGTATAGCTTGTTGAAAATAACTGATTTCATATTTGTGAATTCCAGTGGCTGGCCATTGTGATATGTATGACGGAATGGGGTGTTCACAATGTAACTCTACCTACTAGTAACCTGCTAAACTTCAAACATAAACACAATATCGTGCGCATTTGGAACAGATTGTATTAATATCCAGTCACAAAAAACAACTGTGTACAAAGGATATTAACGTCACGCGATGTAAAATATAAGATGTTATATAAAGCATGTTAATACATTTCAGTGTAAACCTTCGAGCTACGATATACAACCGATAGTAGTTAAATTGGTAGATTACTGTACGTCTTTGTACCCAAAACGGATCTCCTACTATAAGGAAGCAATTAAAGATATACTCACTTGTGGTGTAGTACTATTCATACGAGTAAAATACATACTTAATTCATGTACCACTTATAGAAAGTGGTCGTGGTGTGTGCATACAGATCACTCGTGCGAATAGCGGGGATGGACTCACCTATATGTAGATATGGTATAACCACCAGAAATGTAATTCCCACACCACAAGATGTTGCCACCGTTCTCCATGTCATTATACGTCCAGTCAAACAGCAACCTAGTAGCTTCTACCAATACGTGAAGGGAGAAATATATTGATCAATTTTCTTTGAATGCAATGTGCCACAGCACGGCTTCCGTATGTACATATGTGTACACACACTCACCGGATCTGCGGTTTCGGTTTTCAGTTGTATAGCCGGTTAGTCGTTGGACAAAGCTGACGGCCAGATACCTGGTTCAATCAGGCCTTCTCTCGGTCTATTCACACTGCAGATGACGATGCATATTTACCGCCCTTTTTTCTTTAAACATCTAGGTATGTAATAATACCTTCTATTTATAAAAATACTATACTAATCATACTTGTAATTACACTTATATCCCGGAATATCGAAACATCCGTCCATCCTTCAGCATATAACAAAGGCATATAGCTAGGCCTTCAACCGTGAAAATCTCGGTCTATTTACATAGCAGACGACAACACATACAAATCGTCCTATATACGTTAAACTACTTCACAAAATACTTTTCATAATCCTCCAAATCACCCGGCTACACAATGGAATATCGATCACATCCGTCTGTCCATAACTGCTCTGTCACCTAAAAGTCTCATAACTCTAGAGTTTTGGCCCCCTAGCGCTCAAGATAGTCGAGGTCTCGCTAAGTCTTCAGGCGTTCGACCGTTTCTACATTTACTTTGTCTCGTATTACAACCGTAACCATGGTGAGTAAATTTCACGTCTATCCGACACTGGACAACACCTTCTGTATCAGCCCATCGAAAATAAAGGACACACCTACTTTACAGGGTAAGCCTGCTCACTGATAGATTCGACGGAGCGACGTTAGACCGAAATTTGTGTCTCTAAAATGATAATGTAATGTCAATAATCACATTAATTTTGCTGTTATTGATACTAAAGAGACATACCTTTTGTTATTGATTGGGTGTATTTTTGTGTGTTTACAATTACGTCTCTATACTGTCCCGATATTCACATTCTATTTCTAGAGTCCAGTTTGACCACTACTTTGTTTCGGGAAACCCCTCTCAAAATTAGGGCTGATCACGTGACGTGATAGATTTGAAAAAAAAGACGCAGATCATTTTGTAAACACTATCATATTGTGGTAAATAGCATTGTCAACAATTATTTGTTTGGGGCTCGCGCAGTGAGCTCATGTAAATGTATAAACAAACCCTAAATGAACGGGAGAAAAGGATGAGGAGACCAATACGTGTATTTTAAAAGCTGTACTCAGCAATAGGAATTTACATTTACAAGTGTACAGATATAAGTAAGACTGAAGTTCTATATACAGCAGGTACACTGTGAAAATACACGACCGAAAAGTCAGGCTCTGTCTAACCAAACACAGGAACACTACTCTAGAAGAAAACTTTCATACCAATGGTCACTTGAATTACACTCTCTAGCACTCTAGCTTTCTTCAAATGTGACTGTGGATGATTGCAGGGGAAATATTGTCTCCCCTTTTATATACTTCATGTGTTAATGGTTCAGCAATTAATCTTATAAACAAATAGTTGTTCCTCGGTAGAAATCCAAACTAACAACCGTTTTAACTGATATAAGCAGATTACATGATTTATTATGTCTAAAACACCACATGACGCACAGAAAACGTTAGATACATTAGAAGAGTATGGTAGATAATGGAGTTTAACTGTAAATGTAAATAAGGCAAATATAGTCTTCTTAAGGACTGGTGGTTTAGTACATTCGAATGAGAATTGGTTTTACGATAATGAGGAAATTGAAATATTAGATGAATATAATTACCTTGGAATTACTTTAAATTTTAAAAGAATATTTACTCAACTTAAACTTGCAGAGCAAGGACGAAAATCATTATACGCGGTGAATAATGTATGTAGATAGACTATTTTTGATATCGAATCTTGTCTTGCTATTTTTGACGCTCATGTAAATAATATTTGAATGTATGAATCTGAAATCTGGGGTTATCACAAATCTCCAGAAATTGAAAAACTCCATACCGTAATTTCTTTGGTCATTACTAGGAATAAGAAAAACAACAAATACTACTATTTTTATACATTGAGTTGTGAAGACTTCCCTTAGAAATACTCAGAAAAGTTATAATTTTCAAATATTGGCTAAAGCTAAAACTGTGAACTAAAATTGTGTTATGACGATATAGTTGAAAAAATGGCCCTTGAATCATTAATTTAAAACGTGACCTTTTAACTGTCGACCTTGGATACATGTTTGTAGATACCAATAACAGTTCTGCTAAATTTCATATTATTGTTTATAAACAACGTTTATTTGACAATTTTCAACAAGAATGTCTTGTGAAAGTTAATTCTTCACCTGAAGGATTTTTATACAAACATCTGGTTGGAAGTATTCAATTCCAGTCATACCTACAAAAGCCAGTTAATGTAAGTTTTCAGAAACTTATTTCTAAGATCCGTTTATCTGTGCATGATTTAGTAATTGAACGTGGACTATACAGAGATGTACCCAGGCAGAGTAAAAACGTGTATTTTATGTGATGAGAACGATGCAGAAGACGAATATCATTTTATTATCAAATGTAAGTTTTATGAAGATTTTTTTGTATCAAATTTATTAAGACATATTATTTTAATAAGCCTGGTATGTTTAAATTCATTCCTTTTCTCAAAACTGAAAATATAAAAGACCTTGATAATTTAGGAAAGTATCTAACGTCAGCACATAAAAGTAAGAAAGATTTATTGTGACAAATTAATTAGTATTTTCGTGGTCTCCTCCAAAAATATTATACCAGCATAACGAATGATGACATAGTGTTTATGATGGTAAGAATGCGAGTGTCTTTGTCCTTTGACTTTTATTTATCCAGTAAGTTGTACAACTTACGGAAATAAATTGAATTGAGCACATGGTAGATTGAATTGAATTACGCAAACGTTGACACTTCGCCAACATTAAGTAAGAACTCTCGACCAGCGTACACTATAAATAAAACAGGTACCAGTGGCTACACAGGTAAGGTGGTTAAAATAGCTTGTCGTACCTGGTCAACGGTATGTGTACGTACATACATGTAAACAGAGACATATATATTACATGTAATATATACGTCTCTGATGTAAACAACACATGTTAAAGAAATATAGCAATTCATAGATATATCACAAAGAACTTTTCAATATTTTTCACATATTTGTAATTGATCGTTAATTTACGTTTATCCATTTTTTTATCTGTTAAAATTGCTTTGATGTGTAATAAATCTATTTCCATTGTTCTCAAGCATATGTTTTCAGGGTGACAAGCGAGCTCTCCCCGGTAAATGTTTCGTTATCTAATTATGTACCCGAGGCTATTACGTCATCTACTGTTAATGGTTTAGCGGTAACGTCTCTTTTGTTTCATTAATCTCTATTATTTACCTGTCTACACGTCAGTATCGATAATGGTCACTTCCGTTTAATATATTCGTTTTGGAGACCTATCTGGCAATTGGATTACCAACCAGCAAAGGGACAACACTACGGATTACCGAGTGTGAACAGAACTCTGTCATTTCATTGGACTTAGGATTTTTACATAGTTGGACTTTCATATAAATTGTATATGTATTTCGTAATACCAATATATACGAACTTATTTATCATCACTCTCCAATCTGTCATCATATTGTGATTTAAAATCAAATGCGTTGTTGAATAGTAACCATCATCACAAACGAACTTTGAACTTCTGGTTTTGTGTCTCATCACACAATATACCAGGCAAATTGTAACAAACGGGATACAAAAAGATTATATGAAAGATACATGTACTTACATTTACAATTAAAGTGTAACTTCGCGACACTGCTCCTGCTTAGACGTAAATTTTGTCCTCAAATTAGGAACTCTGTAAAAGAAAAAGTATTTAGCAGCATCACTATATAAATAAAACACATTGTAATATAAATATATGACAATACGACTTAGTTAATAACAAAATCACATCAAACTGAAAAAAACAGAAAAAAAGAAAGTCACCATTCACTTTGTCCGTTTACATTCCATTAGTATATCATGACTTTGGAAACCCCACATAAGAGCAATACAGTCAAATGTCATCATGTTATCCTGGGGGTTGCTGGCGTGTCCCGCGCCAGTTCCACCGAAAGTACTTTCCAATCGCGTCCAGATAATACACAGAAACTAAGTGACGGAATTCCTTCCAGGAAATCTTACAAGAACACCATGGTCCACAGTAGTGGAGCTATCTTCCGTGTGGCAACACGGGAATATCATTCTTTCTTGGTCCACGATAGTGGAGTCATCTTCCACGATTTCACGTGGGAACATCAAATTTTCATCCCATAGTCTCGATGCCAGCCAGGCTTCACGATTCACCTTCCTCGTCTACCAACAACATTTTTAGTGTCGGAGAGACTATTGCAAGTTGAGTTAGATGCACTGAGAGCATCATCTTCGGATTACTCAAATGCTTCAGCAGGGAAGTACCAATCCTTACGCAAAAACGTAATTTTATTTAACTATTTTTTCTTGTTTTGATGAATTATTAAGTTTTAATAGATAATAAGATATATTTCATTACTAAGCCATAAAAGCTTGGTTAAGCGTGGATCTGTGCAAGTGAAGTAATAGTAATAATAAGAACAATAATAAGAATAAGACCACGGCATGAAAAATGCCTTTAACCTCCTACTCGTAAATGTCCCAAAACTGCATTTGGATGCAGACCAAATCGGCCTGGGCTTCATCATAGTTACAAGAGTTACAGTTACCTGGTTTCAGCATGTTGTCCCCCATCAGCTGTGAAGTTCATCGATATACCATCGCAGTACCGAGTAGTCACTCTAGGAGGTCAGAATGGATTATTCAAGAATTTTTATCTTTGTAAGTGGAAGAAAGCAGATATTATATGTATTGAGGAAACTAGCAAATATATGAGAAAGGGAGTGGGGGTATAATTGTGTCTTCAGCAATCATAACTCTAGATCAGTTGGAGTAGCTATCTTGATGAGAAATACATTTGAATATACTATTCATGGCAATAGGATTGATACTTCAGGTATATTTATTA